CACCAAATACCATACCGTGCCAAACATCGTAATATTAAGCGCACGACTCAGTTCGTACAGATTTCTCAGCAAATTTATTTAATATAAAATGTAGAGAACAACAAACTTAATCTGACTAGTATTGTCCATCGTTTTCAGTCACACTGCGCCATCTTTCAGGTAACGTACGGTCGCCGTGGACGAAGGTGCTTGCAGATTTCAAGTCATTAAATTCGTCTCCGACGGAGGTACGCACATGGTTCAGGAATTTGAACTGTTAACCCACCAAGATGTTCTGCTACATTGACCGGACCACGTGTTAGTCAGATGGAGACAAGTCTAGGGAATATGCTGCGTGTGGTAGGACTACCCATCCTAAGTCCTGGAGGATCTGAGGCTCGCGAGCAACGTGAGGTCGAGAGTAGTCATGCGCCAATGTGACTTGCACGATTCCTAGCCCAGTAAATGGTCTTTTCTGCTCACTTTCTTTGCTCAGTTTGTTCAATTGTCGACTGTAGCATTCCGCAGTCACCGTCCGACCAATTTCGAGGAGTTCGTAATCAAGGTTGTGAATTGCTTCCATGTGGTGCAAAGGCTTGGAAATGCCTGTTTGAATGACCCCTGACTGACCCACAATATCTTGTTGCGCTTGCGTTGAGTATTTAGCGCATCCTCAAACTTACGAGGCTGTTGTCCGAAACGCAGCTAGTCATAAAGATTAAAATCACCACGTCCAAAATATTTGTACCACTGATTGCAAGTTTCACGAGAGGCAAGATTGGCATCAATGACACTAAAAAGTGAGCTCCGTGCTTTAAAAGCATTTTCCCTGTTGGAATCCGTTTAAAATGCAGTACCAAATGTGTTGTTTATCAGTTTTTATCGTGCACTCTGATATCGTGAGATGTCGTATAACACACGCAGATTTGCCGCTCAGTGTTCTGCAACCCGACTTCAGTTCACATCAAAACCACCAAAGACAACGACTATATTTTGATGTATCTTATAATTTTCAGCTCGTAAATAAAGCAGTACACATTAAATCACACCTCTAATGATTGTACAGATGGTAATTATACCTAACTACCTCGAATAGATTTTACCCATTATTTCCTAAATCTCGCTTAATCCTTTGTCTCTCAGTGTTTTTTTAATATCATGCGAGGAAGATAAACAGGGAACCACAGAAAGACACACATAAGAAGCATTACATAATGATCGTCGTATCCAGCGTGCTGGACTCCGTTTGGGTTTGGCTATCGTGTGGTTCTGGATTGTGATTGATTATTAAAATATGTTTTATTTTAGCAGCCTATTTTTATACTTGGGCTTCGGTATTTTAGAATGTCCTTGGCTTATGTTAAATACTTGCAACCCCGTTTCACAACTGTCATTGACCAGCGCTCCTCACGCGAACTCAGAAATCTATGTTATACTTGTACATAACAATCTATTTGGCGTAGTTGATACTAGTGAGCAGTGTCTTTATCTGAAATAAATTACTTGGTTAAATTCAATTTTTTAATGTTAGTCTAAGTGCTTATACAATTGATACACTAGTGCTAAATTGATTTATGCAGAGGCGGTTATCATAGGAAACTCATGCCCACCACTACCAGTGTACTCTTCTAATTTGCAGAGTAAACGCTATTCTAACCACATAACTTCTTCTTGCTTTTGTGCTCATAAAATAAATCTTGATTGCAAAGCACGAGATTAGTGAAAATCGACGGCACTGAACTATATCTGCAGCTTAATTTCTGTTATCAGCACTATAGTAACGTGAGATGCCAATATTTTGCCTGCTCAATTTTAGTGGTGATGAATTTTAACTACGTGGTAAATACATTGTTTAAAAATGTTATGAGTAGCATGTACGAATATATTAATAGGTGTATTATTCCTTACACTATCATGCATGTTAGAAAATATTTGTGTCATTACCGCTTATTATTTGCAATCTGTGAGATAATTGTGTTTTTAAATCATAATAAGGTCAAGATCAGCGTATTCTAGCTCTCGACTTTAGATTGTGATTTAAAGTTAGTTGTACATTTTTGAATAATAGGGTTATTAAAATTTTAAGGCGTTTGGTATTTTTGATCGAAGTCTTTGTTTGTATAAAATGAAAACATTATTTAAAAAAACCTTTTCTTGCAATTTTTTGCAAAAAATATGAACAAATTACGCAATTTTTAGGTGCTGTAGGTAAACTTTAAATACACATGTCAGCGGCGCCTTCTACCAAAAGAAGATAAGCGTCGACAAAATTCAGGGCGTTAAGGAACCATGTTAAAAAATACCTGCAGATAATGGTTCTCTGATTATTTCTTATTTATTAAAACTAGTCTACTTGGAATGCGAAACTAATCCATTTGGGTTTTAGTTTAATCCTTTAATAAACGCAGGCGGCACTTTCAAGGTTGCTGCTTTCTCTGGTGTGTTTTCTTAATTTAATTCTAAGGTGGCTGTTTTCTTCCTTACGAGTAACTGCTTATGTTATATTGTTAATGTTTCACATTATGTGTAAGTCGTAATGTAGGTTTGTTTACTGATTGATTACTTTTTGTAAGGCGATATTGTGCAAATATTTTACAATATCTCTGTAATCATTATTGTAAGGTTTTGCCAAGTGTTTCCTTCCTGCACTTTTTGCATCCTACAGAATTGTATGATGTAGGTATATGTACGCACTCTCACTTATGCTTTGGACTTAACATCCATCATAACTCTTCCTTATGTTAACAGTATCGGTAAGTTGCTGCTCTCGAGGGGGTTTTCGAAGCTATGAAGGTTGTGATATATTTGGTATTATACTTGGTTAAAGTTAAATATCGGGAATAAATTAGCATACTTGTCGAACATCTATGACGTGGTCAGTTGTGAATGCCCGATACCATCATTACTTGATCTCCCACAGTATATTACGCCCCAATTTGAAACCTCTGCTGTCAAATGTGTGCCTGTGCGTTGGAAAAGAAGTACAGATATGCGACTTTTAACATTCACCAAAACGAATTTCCTAGGCAGCAGCCTGTTTACTTTATGCCTGTTTAAAACGACTTCTCGTCACCC